CATACAAAGCACGGGAATTCTCCTCTGCTGTAATTAAAGTGCTGGGAATGTGGTGGAGGAAGCTCCAGGGTTTGGTGTGGAGTTGGGGAGATTTTGGGAATCTGAGCAGAGAGGGGATGGGAATGACTCCAAACCCGGGCACAGAACGGTGCTGGAATTGCCATTCCTGGAGGGGATGTTGGAATCGCCATTCCTCGAGGGAATATTTGAGCAAAACCCTTTCCCAGTGCTGGAATCACCATTCATGGAAGGGACCCTGGATCAAGACCCCATTCCCAATGCTGGAACTGCCATTCGTAGAGGGAATCCTGGAATCACAAATCCTGGAGGGAATCCTGGATCAATTCTCCATTCCCAGTGCTGGAATCACCATTCCCAGAGGGAATCCTGGAATCACCATTCCTGGTGGGAATCCTGGAGCAAAACCCCATTCCCAGTATTGGAATCACCATTCCTAGAGGGAATCCTGGATCAATTCCCCATTCCCAGTGCTGGAATTGCCATTCCTAAATGGAATACTGGATCAAGACCCCATTCCCAGTGTTGGAACCGCCATTCCCAGAGGGAATTCTGGAATCACCATTCCCAGAGGGAATCCTGGATCAAGACCCCATTCCCAGTATTGGAATCACCATTCCCAGAGGGAATCCTGTATCAATTCCCTATTACCAGTGCTGGAACTGCCATTCCCAGAGGGAATCCTGGAATCACCATTCCCAGAGGGAATCCTGGAGCAAATCCTTTTCCTGGAGGGCATCCTGGAGCAAATTCCCATACCACTGCTGGAATTCCTGGAGGAATTATTGGGAAAGGTCTGCTCCCAGTGCTGGAATTGCCATTCCTGGAGGGAATCCTGGATCAAGACCCCATTCCCAGTGTTGGTGCCACCATTCCCAGAGGGAATCTTGGAATCACCATTCCCAGAGGGAATCCTGGATCAATTTCCCATTCCCAGTTCTGGAACTGCCATTCCCAGAGGGAATCCTGGAATCACCATTCCTGGAGCAAATCCCTGTACCAGTGCTGGAATTCCTGGAGGAATTACTGGGAGAAATCTGCTCCCAGTGCTGGAATCACAATTCCTGGAGGGAATCCTGGATCAATTCCCCATTCCCAGTGCTGGAACTGCCATTCCTAGATGGAATACTGGGATCACCATTCCTGGAGAGAATCCTGGAGCAAATCCCCATTCCCAGTACCTCCCAGTAACCCCAGGATCTCCATGGATCACAATTCCTGGGCAGGGAATACTGGGAATGCCCAGTGGTCCTTCTCTGACCTTTCCAAGCAGATCTTCCTCCTTCTGGAAAATCCCAGAGCACTCCCAGCTTTCCCAGGGAAAACCCTCCAGCACCAGGAAGAAATCCCTGCTGGATTTTCCAGCCTCTTTCCCAAGGAAACTCAGCAGCACTCAGGGCTCCCAAACTGAGAAACGCCCAGATTTGGGAATCACCCCCAGGAAGGATCCCAAATTTTGCTGTGGGGCTCCCAAATCCCCTTTTTTGGCTGCCCCACACCCGGCTCCAGCTCAGAGCCGCCCCATCCCGGAAAAAAGCAGCCTGGGATTGTGGCAGGAATTCCAGGAGGGACAGGATCTGTTTATGTTTCCTGTGCCAGCTCCCACATCCCCCCATCGGATTTTCCATGCTGGAAAAGGGAATGTTCATCCCTCCCTCCCTTCTCTGCCAGCTCCAGCTCCTGGCAAACAGCTCTGGGATCCTTCCATCCCATTTTCCACATCCCTGGAACGTCCAAGGCCTCACTGGAACAAGCTGGGATAATGGGAATTGTCCCAGTCCATGGCAGAGGCTGGAATGAGATGATTTTAAACCCCATCCCAGTCAGGAATTCTGTGATTCCACAATTTTACCATCCCCAGGCTCCCAAGATTCCCAAAATCCCTTTTTCCGTGGGCACAGCTGGATGGGAATTGAGATTTCCACTCCCCAAATAAAAATCCCAAATAAATAAAAATTTCCAGCCTCTCACTCTTCCTATGCCACAAATCCCAACATTTTCAGCACTGCCAGGTTGTCTTGGGAGAAAAAAATTCCAAATCCAATCAAAAGAGGGATTGGAATTTGAAACCCAAAATTCTTGCACATAAAAATTCCCAAAATACCACCAGAAAATGGGAATGTGGCAGCTCCTTGGGAATTTTTTCCTGTTTGTTGTCTCCTGCAGGAAAAAAAGGCTGGGAATTGTTGAATTCCAACCCAACTCTTGGAATTCCTGCTGCTGAAGGGTTCCTGGTTTTCCCCTGCCCCCAGATATGGGGATTTTTATGGAATCTTGGATTTTAAGGCTGTTTCATTCCTTGGTTTGTTCTCCTTGGTTTATTTTGGTTTTTCTTTTTTTCCATTATAGACATCGTTAAAAAAAATAAATTTTCCAAGAATACATTTGGAAGTTGTTGTGGGAATCGGAGGAATTAAAAAAAATTTTTTAAAAAAAGAGGGAAAATATAGGGAAAAATGGGAATTAAAAAGCCACAGCATGGGTAGGGTTATGTATATGGGAATATCTGTATGTTATATGTATATAGGAAATAAAGTGGAGAGGGAAAACAGGGAATTCCAACCCTGGATGGGTCAAATTCCACTCCCAACCCAAATTCCAAATTTAAAAAAAAAATTTAAAAAAAAAGAAAATGGAACCTCTTCCCCTGGAATGATTGAAAACATCAGCACAACCTCACACGTTTCACACCAGTTTCTTTTCTCTTCCATTCGGAAACTCTCTGAGGAAAAATCCCAACCAAAATCCCCCAAAATCCAACGGGAAGAGCTGTGGGAGTCCCCTCCAGGTGGCTCCTGATGGCGCCTTCATCCTCCAGGATGTTCCCATGCGGAATCCTCGTTGTTCCTGTGGCCACCCCAGTGCAAAGAATCCTGAAATTCGCCTTTCCCAAATCCTTTCTCCGACTTTTTCCCCCTCCCCGGCACCGCTGGCAGCTCCAGACCCCCATTCCAGGCCCGTTCCAGGGAGTTTTCCTTGTAAACCAACCCAGAAAAGACCAAAAAAATAAAAATCCCCCCCAAAAAACGGGAAAAACGAAAAGTAGGAAGAAAACCACCAAAGTTTCCCAGCGTGGTGGAGGCTCCTCCTGCCTCTCCAGAGCTCGACATTCCCGGGATTTGGGAGCATTCTAGTCTCCGGCATGAGCGCGGCAGTGGTGGGCACTGGTGGGCACTGGTGGGCACTGGTCCGAGCGTCCCCGTCCCACCGGCCGCTCCTTCCCACCCCTTTTATAGCCCCAGCGCCAGGGTCAGGATGGGAATGAGGAGCAGGATCCGGCTCTCCCGCTGCTGGCTGCTTCCCCCCTTGGGATCCATGAAAGTCTTCTGGTCCGGCATCACATCCGTGGTCAGCTGGGCCTGGGAAGGAAGGATGGGAGTGGGGTTTTAGGGAAAAGCATCCCAAAGTTGGGAGACACCACCGGGATGGCATTCCCAAGATGTTTGGTCTGGAAGAGAATTCCCAAGTACCTGGGAGTAGCACAAGCTCTGCTCCTTGGATTGGTTGGGCTTCAGGCCTTGTTCCTGGCAGGAGAAATTGGGAATGGTTAGGGGAGGAATGCGCCCCTGGAGCTGGTTTGGGATCCCGAATTTCCCTGCAGGAATCAGCTCAGAGCAGGTGATGGAGCACTGGGAGATTTGGGAATGGCTCATCCCATCTCCACAGGGAGCCCAGGGGCTTCCGTGGATCCTGCCTCACTGTGATCCTGACAGGAATCCTGCCTGGAATCCTGGGATACGCCACCAGTCCCCATCCTACTCCTCTGCATTCCTGGGACATCTCCAGCCATTCCCCAATCCCATTTCCCTGCATTCCTGGGACATTCCCCAATCCTATTTCCCTCCCATTCCTGGAACATCCCCAGCCAATCCCCAGTTCCATTTCCCTGCATTCCTAGGCCATTCCCCAATCCCATTTTTCTCCCATTCCTGGGCCATTCCCCAATCCCATTTCCCTACATTCCTGGGCCATTCCCCAATCCCCCAATCCCATTTCCCTGCATTCCTTGGATAGCCCCAGTCATTCCCCAGTCTCATTTCCCTCCCATTCCTGGAACATCCCCAGCCATTCCCCAATCCCATTTCCCTCCAACTCCTTTTCCACCCATGGAACAAAACATGGACGCCCAAGCCCAGCGCTTGGCAAGCCAACACAGATTTTCCAGATTTCCCAAAAAACCCTGGAATTCCATCTCCCAAACGAGCAGAATTCGGCCTCAGAGAGCAGGTGAGGGGTAAGACGGGCAGGGAATCCCATTTCCCTCCCCATACAGTGCCCGGATCCTTCCGGTCCCAGGATGAGTCCGAGCAGGACATTTCCCCAATCCCACGGGATGCAGCCGCTGTCCCACACCCCCACCAGTGCTCCCAGTTTGCAGCAGGGACTGGGCCCCACCTGGAGGGAGGTGCAGGTGCTGATGACGCTCGTGTCGTAGGCGGTGTTGCTGTCGTTGACATCGTCCGGCAGCACCGGGCTCTTCTCCACCTTCGGCAGCGCCGTCACAGCGGGATTGGGAATTTTGGGAGCCAGGTTCACATCGGTGCCGTTCCCAAAAGCCTGGATGGCGTTTCCTGGCAGCAGGAGAGATTTAGGAAGGATGGGAATGATAAAAAAAGGTAAAAGGGGCAGGGTGGGGAAGCGCCTTACGGAGACAGGGGTTTTCCGTGAAATCCCGCAGGAATTTCTCGCACTCCTCCTCCATATTCCCGCTGCCTTTGCAGGAGCACCAGGGTGAGATGGTGATGCTGGTGGTGCTGGCGTCCACGTAGTTGGGGGTGATGTCAAAGCCTGGCGAGGAGGAGGGAACGGGGATGAAATCCCAGTGGGAAAATCCATTCCCGATCCCGACTCCCGGCACTCACCGATGAGCCCTGCGTAGGAGCCCAGGCACGCCTGGAAGTTGTCACCAGGACAGTTGGTCAGGGACTGGAAGGTGGCCTGGCAGTTGGTGTGGAAATCTGCCAGCCGGGATCTGCAGAGGAGGAAAAGTGGGAAAACAAGGGGATTTCAGTGCCAGTTCCTTCCCAGAGTGACTCTGTGGCCAGCAGGAATTTTTGAATGGAATAAAAGTGCCCTATTCCCAACATCCCCACACGGGCTGTGAAATTCCAGGGCCATTCAGGCTCTCCATCTTGGTTATCTAAGTGCTCCCAAGAGGAGACAGGATCCTGGTAACGGCCGTGCTCATCCATGCCTCAGATCCCAAAGAACAGCAAAAACACAAGGGGAGTGTCCTTGGGAAGGGATGGAATTGGGGTGGTCTGATGGGGATGGGAGGATGGGGAAGGAGGAAGAGCTCAGGATGAAGCAGCAATTCCAGGGAAAACCAGGATTCTGCAGCTCTGACGTGATGAGTGAGGCAAGGAGGAAACTTTCTGCTTCTCCCTCTTCCTGGAAATAAAACTCCCCCATCGTCCTTGGGAAGGGATGGAACTGGGGAGGTTTGATGGGCTTCTCCATGATGGGGATGGGAGGATGGGGAAGGAGGAAGAGCTCAGGATGAAGCAGAAATTCCAAGGAAAACCAGGATTCTGCAGCTCTGCCGTGATGAGTGAGGCAAGGAGGAAACTTTCTCCCTCTCCTTCTTCCTGGAAATAAAACTCCCCCACCAGGATCATTGTTTTCATGTTTATTTTCCTTCCTTGTGACTCAGCCCATGGAAAACTCCCCACAGAGCGGAGCGGCTCCATTCCACTCCCATTCCTGGGGCAGATCCTCAACTCCTGGAAGGGAATTTTCCTCACACAAAACCCCAGAAAAGCTTTTCCAGCATTTTTATTTTTGGGGGGACTCTCCACCCTCCCTGCAGCCAAACCTCAGCTCCAGGGTGGGAGTGGCAGAAATCCAAAAACCTGCTCCTTCCCCCAGCTTCTCCGCGGGAGAGGAATAAAACTTTCCGACAGCATTTCCCTCTCTTCCCAAATCCGAGGCGAAGGGACGTCAATTCCCTGCAGGAAGCGCGGCGAGTTCAGCGCCGAGCGCCAGGAAAATTTGTCACCGCTGCTCCCCGGGGCTCCACTCCCGGCCTGGAGCATCCTCCCAGGCAAATGTTATTCCTTTCATAATCCATGAAGATGCAGCTGGGAAATCCTTCAGGAATATCCAAGCCAGATGTCACTCTTCCCGTTGGACACGGCGACTTTGGAAGCCGCTGGATGGGATTCGCTGCCAGGAATAAAAGCTCGGCCCCAGCCCGGCGGGTTTTGGCTTTCAGGAGCTCCGAGAGAATGAAAACAAGGGAAAAGAGAAGGAGCCAAGTCCATCTTAGCGAGAACAAGGAGGGATCGGTGCCAAATCGCTGCTGGCAGCTGGAGGAGGCAGGTGGGGATGGCTTGGAAAAGTTGGGAAGAGCTGGGCTGGCTCTGGGTGAGGGATGGAGGAGGATTTTCCTAAGAGTTGCCTCCTCCTCCAAAAAAAAAACCCCAAGGAGTGGAAGAAAAGGGACTTTAAAAATTAATTCTGGATGCACACTCAGATTTGCCATCCGAGGGCTTCCAAACTGCTCCTTTTGGATTCCTGCAGGAAAAGTGACAGGAAAGGATCCCAGGGGTGAACAGGCCCTGCTCCCAAATCCAGGCACTTCCCAAGGACCTGGATCCCTGGATCTCCTTAAACATCCTGGATTTAAGGAGCTTTTTAATTCCATATCTTTAATTCCCAGTGCATAAATCCCAAATCTCAGGAGTTCTGTGCACCTGTACATTTATCCCAAGTGCTTAAATACCAGATTTAAGGGACTCTGTGCATTCCTACACAAACACCTGGCACAGATATCCCAAATTTAGGGGACATTTTGTGCCTGTATTTTTATCCCAGGTGCATAAATCCCAAATTTAGGGGATTTTTATTTCTGTCCTCCCACCCCCAGTGCACATATCCCAAATTTACTGGACATTTTGTGCCTGTACTTTTATCCCAGGTGCATAAACCACAAATTTAGGGGATTTTTGTTCCTGTCCATTTAGGGGACTTCAATCATCCCTACAGAGCCCACCTGCCTCCAGCTCCTCTCCCATTCCCTGTTTTTCTGCGGGAATTCAGCACCACCAAAACCCCACCGGCTCTGACATTAAAATTTACCAAACACAGAAGTTTTGGGATGGGTTTGGGGGGGTTTTTTTGTGATTTTTTAAAGCGCTTAATTGAGTGTTAAATACTCCCATCCCCCTCCAGCCGCGGTGATAGCTCAGCACACATCAAACCCAACAGCATCCTGCTCCTGAATATTTCATGGAAAAGACACCGGGATTCCTCCTGAAGTGGATTTTTTTTTTTTTCACAGGCAATTTATGGGGACTGAGGGAATTAAAAATAAAAAAAAAAAAGCTGGGAAAAATCTGCTCTCCCTCTCCTGCCCAGCTGGGGATGTTCAGGAAGCTGCGACAACACGGAAAAAACTCGGCGAGACACGAAAATCCCGCTGGGCATCGCCCTCCCAACATTCCCATCCTGCTGGAGAGGGATTCTTTTGAAGCTGGAGAGATGCTGAGATTAAAAAAAAAAAAATTCCCCTCCAAACGCTCCCAGGTAAATTCAAAGAGTCCCAGGGAGGGGGAGCAGCTGGAGGAAAGAGGGAAGCTGGAATATAAAAGTCGGCTTTTGTGGATGACCCGCTGCCAAATCGAGCGAGGAGTTCACAGGGGAGGGAGGAAAGATCAATGGATGGATTTGTTTTATCCAGGAGAAGTTGTCTGGGGAGAGGAGTCACCTGTTCCGGGCTGAGCCGCGGGAGGCTGGAGGGAAATAGGGAATTTTTTGTTGTAGTTTCTGAGGCTCTCGGCCTCGATTCCAGAGGAATTTTCGCATGGAAAGGGGGGCAGGCTTGGGAAGGGGCTGCCCGTGGGGGGTTTGGAGTCTCCATGGGTGGAGGTGTCCAGGGAACCCCTGGAGGTATCCAGGGAATGCCTGGAGATACCCAAGGAACAACTGGAGTATCCAAGGATGACCTGGAGGTGCCCAAGGAACCCCTCAAGGTGCCCAAGGTACCCGTGGAGGTATCCAAGGAACCCCTGAAGACATCCAGGGAATGCCAGGAGGTGGCCAAGAAACCCCTGGAGATGCCCAAGGATGACCTGGAGATGCCCAAGGAAGCCCTTGAGGTGCCCAAGCAACCCCTGGAGGTATCCAAGGAATTCCTGGAGGCATCCAAGGAACCCCTGGAGGTGCCCAAGAAACCACTGGAGATGTCCAGGGAATGCCTGGAGATACCCAGGGAACCCTTGGAGATGCCCGAGGATGACCTGGAAGAGCCCAGGAAACCCTTGGAGATGCCCAGGGAACTCCTGGAGATGATCAGGGATGACCTGGAGGTGCCTAAGGAACCCCTGAAGACATCCAGGGAATGCCTGGAGATGCCCAAGGAACCCCTGGAGGTGTCCAAGGAACCTCTTGAGGTGCCCAAGGATTCCCTGGAGATGCCTAAGGATGACCAAGAGATGCCCAGGGAACCCTTGGAGATTCCCAGGAAATCCTTGGAGGTGGTGCCCAAGGGACCCCTGGAGGTGCCCAAGGAATTCCTGGAGGTATCCAAGGAACCTCTGGAGGTGTCCAGGGAGTGCCTGCAGGTGTCCAAGGAACCCCTTGAGATGCCCAAGGGACCACTGGAGATGCCCAGGGAACCCTTGGAGGTGCTCAAGGAACCCCTGAAGGTGTCCAGGGAACCCCTGAAGGTGCCCAAGGATGACCTGGAGATGCCCAAGGATGACCTGCACTCATCCAGGGATGGCCTAGAAGTGCTCAGGGAACCCCTGGAGGTGCCCAAGGAACCCCTGGAGGTGACGCTCAGAGCTCTGAGCTGGGGACGAGTGGGGACCAAAAGTTGGACTCTGCTCCTGGAGGATTTTCCAACCTCTGCAATCTCTTGCTCAGGGCCATGGACACGGCAGGAAAACCCCAAACCCACAAACAAACCGAGGGAGAAACTCCCGAAGCGGAGAAACCCCAGCAAGAGGCAAAACAATCAAGGCAGAACCTCAAAGACGGCAGCTCCTAATTAACGAATTAATTAATTAATTTCGTTCTCCACACGCGTTTCAGGCCACCAAATTTTGCTCCAGCGCTGCGATCGGTGACTCAAAGGCCTTTTTTGGGTGGATTTGTTTCATTCTCAAGCCGGGAAGGGGAGGACGGAGCGCAGGCACCGCTTGATTTTAATTGCGGGCCCGTTCTGTCCCATTGAGCCGCTAAGTGAGCCCAACAGGAGATTGTGTTTGCACAAGCAAAGCCCGGCTCAAGACAGACTCGCTGTCACATTAAGTCAATACTTGGGAAGCCTCTCGAGTTAATTATTCAGCGAGAATTGACTGATTCTCGTGGTGAGAGCCCGCAGGGAGCCGAGCCCTCCCCCAGCCTCTTCTTCCTCATGCGGGGGAACCCCCCCAGTGCTGCCCCTCCGCTTGGAAATCTACCAGATTTGGGGATTTTCACTGATTTTCACTGATTTCTCCAATTTCTCCCAGCTCCTGTTAAATCCAGGAGCAATTTTTCCCTGTTCCATCTTCTTTCCCTGCTCCTTCTTCTCTTCTTCTTCCCCAGCTGCCTCCTCATGTGAGGGTCCCCCCAGTGTTGCCCCTCCAAACCTGGTTTGGGAAATCTATGAAAATCCCCAAATCTGGTGGATTTCCACTTATTTTCCCAGATGTCTCCAAGCTCTCCCAGGTACGGTTAAATCCAGGAGAAATTTTTCCGTTCTACTCTTCTTCCCCAGCCTTCTCCTCATGTGAGGGGCTTCCCAGTGCTGCCCCTGTGCTTCAAAATCCACCAGATTTGGCAATTTTCACTGATTTCCCAATCCCAAACTGGGTTTGGAGGCTTCTCCACATCCTGTTCCTCTGAACCTGAGTTCTCTCAGTTCCCGTTAAATCCTGGAGCAATTTTTCCCTGCTCCTTCTTCCTCCCCTGCTCCTTCTCCTCTTCTTCCCCAGCCACCTCCACAAGTGAGGGAGCTCCCAGTGCTGCCCCTTCTCTTCAAAATCCACCATATTTGGGGATTTTCACAGATTTCCCAATCCCAAACCGGATTTGGAGGTTCCTCCACTCCCCTCCAAACCCGAGCTCTCACAGCTCCCATTAAATCCTGGAGCAATTTTTCCCTGCTCCTTCTTCTTTCCCTGCTCCTTCCTCCCCTGCTCCTTCTCCTCTTCTTCTCCAGCCACCTCCATACATGGGCGACCCTCCAGTGCTGCCCCTTCCACTCTGAAATCCACCAGATTTGGGGACTTTCACTGATTTTCACTGATTTCTCCAAGCTCTCCCAGCTCCCATTAAATCCAGGAGAAATCCTTGCCTGTTCATTCTCCTCTTCTTCTTCCCCAGCCACCTCCTCATGTGAGGGACCCCCTGGTCCTGCCCCTCCACTCTTAAATCCACCAGATTTGGGGATTTTCACAGATTTCCCAAACCAGGTTTGGAGGCTCTTCCACTCCCCTCCAAACCCGAGCTCTCCCAGCTCCCACTAAATCCTGGAGCAATTTTTCCCTGCTCCTTCTTCCTCCCCTGCTCCTTCTCCTCTTCTTCTCCAGCCACCTCCATACATGGGGGACCCTCCAGTGCTGACCCTCCACTTTGAAATCCACCAGATTTGGGGATTTTCACAGATTTCTCCGAGCTCTCCCAGCTCCTGTTAAATCCAGGATAATTTTTTCCCTTCTCCTCTTCTTTCCCAGCCTTGTCCTCACGTGAAGGACCCCCGGGTGCTGCCTCTCCACTCTTAAATCCACCAGATTTGGGGATTTTCACAGATTTCCCAAACCAGGTTTGGAGGCTCTTCCACTCCCCTCCAAACCCGAGCTCTCCCAGCTCCCACTAAATTCTGGAGCAATTTTTCCCTGCTCCTTCTTCTTCCCAGACAGGCTCTCATTACGGGGAGTAATGAGGAGTTGAGCTGCTGTTTATCAAGGGAACATCCATTACAAACAACGGCCGCGCCCGCAGCCGCCGCGTTCCCTTCCCGTGTTTGCTGCTCCATCAATCCCCAGCCAGCCTGGATCCCCTCCCTCCATCCTTCCCCAGCCCAAACCTGGCCAAAACGCTTGGTGCACAAATATCCCGAGAGGGGGAGCATCCCTGATTCCCCTGGATTTAAATACACCAAAAAATGGGATAAAAAAATCTGAGAAATGACCCAACGTCCCCACTTTGGATGTTCCAACCCCAGCCAAAATCCTTGGCAAAAATCCTGACCCCCCTTGAATTTAAACGCATGAAAGCAAGAGATAAAAATCTGGGAAATGACCCAACGTCTCCACTTTGGATACTCCAAACCCAGCCAAAATCCTCTTCACAAAAATATGCTGTAAGAGGGAGCATCCCTCACCCTCTTGGATTTAAACACAACAAAAACTGGGATAAAAATCTGGGAAATGACCCAACATTCCCAGTTGGGACACTGAGGAGCTCCAGTGCAACCTTGGCCAAAATCTCT